CAATAAATCGTCAAGAAAAATCAAATATTATTTAAAATAAAAATTATTGGGTGAAAACAAAATGCGATTTTGATTCAGCCAGGATTAACTCTCGAGAATCATCATTACGCGATTGTCAAAACATAACTAAAAACACTATTTCTAAACAAACATAATCCTAAAACGGATCGATGGAGAATCATCATTACCTTTGCGATTTTGATTCAGCCAGGGTTAACGCTCGAGAATCATCATTACCTCTGCGATTATAAATAAGTTTTATAATTTAGTCTATACTATTATAAAGTGAAAACATTTTTGTTGAAAAAGATAAATACTGTTGTTTAAATTCATATGTCTCTGGTATTTCAAGATTAACAAATATCTGACTTACGTCATAAGCATTTAAGATCTGGACCTCACTTATAACCAAAAATAAATCATTTGCATCACAAAGGATTAGTTCCATGGACTTCCTTAGTGTTTCATGAAATGTCTCCACGTATGAAGGATTTTGACTTGGATACGATAGCAGTCTTCCTCGGTTTTATATCGCTCAAGAAAGACAACTGCAAATTATTCGCCATTTTTGTTTTAGGTTTTTGAAGGGATGATAAATATAATGGCTAAGAGATGCTATATTTATAATAGGTAGGGACGATATACAATTGGGTTACGCGAATATAGGAGAGAATATTTCATACGATTTTTTAAAATATCTCTTTCGATAAATAAGGAATATTTCTTAAAGATTTTGAATTAGTTAAGAAATTTAAAGTTTAACAGTTAATGGTAATCCAACTACGGTAAGTTACCAAAATTTATGGAATCTACAATATTGATTGTGGTTAATCTATAACTTGTAGGTAAAGCAATTTCTTTATTTTAGTAGGAAGATAATTATAGAAAACCGTATTTGCAATATTTTCTTAACAAAACGTATCTCGTCCATTAAATGTCAACATGAGAGTGATGATATTTTTTTTTTGGTTGATATCACTATATGTCGTCTAACTATGGTATATAAATACATGTAAATTTAGTGAGACATGAAAACATATTTCATATATGAAGAAAAACATGAAATGAAGGTATATAACACAATATAAATGAAATGAAAAATTATAAAGTCCATGTATGATGCATATACTAAAAAATGTCAACCAAAAAAGTATAATGTTGGAAATCTATGGATTGAAATCGTGTAATATAAGATCTATAACACAATACAAATGTTTGAAATATAGTATGGTTTATAAATACGGGTAAATTTAGTGAGACATGAAAAAATATTTCATATATGAAGATAGATCATGAAATGAAGGTTTATAACACAATATAAATGAAATAAAGGTTTATATAGTCCATGTATGATGCATATACCAAAAAATGTCAACCAAAAAAGTATAGTGTTGGAAATATATAGATTGAAATCATGTAATATAAGGTCTATAACACAATATAATTGTATGAAATATAGTATGGTATATAAATACGGGTAAATTTAGTGAGACATGAAAACATAT